CTCTAGGCTGTAAAAATTAATTCCAAGACCATGGTTCGATTTGTCTGGATCTCGTGAACACATCCATATCCATCAATTGGCTTGATTTCACCTGTATCAAAAACGCCTAAAAACAAGAAACCCAAACCCTAGTTTCGGGTAGGGCTTTACAGGCCATGAAAACTCAATTGAGTATTGCAGAATGCTTAGAAATCATGCAAGAGTCATGAATATACCAATGTTTTGTCAAAAAGATGCAAGAATGAGAGGTTGCAGTTTCGTGTACAGGGGTATGTTCAAGGAGACTTACAATGCGATTTAGGGAGGGAGAAGGCTTGATTTTGATTCCAATAGCTTCAGTGGATGTCAAACAAGAAGATAACGTGGAGTTTTGGCCTTGAAAACGACTCTAGGATGGATTTCAGATTCCAACTTTTCAAGCTTTTTTTAAGTTTGTTCTTGTGATTTTGTGCAGCCTCCTGGTTCTCTTTTCGTATGCCTTGTGTTGTATATGTATAATAGAGTCAATTAGGTCAAGTCTTGGGCTTGGGATCTTGGTGCATTGATGTTTGAAGATTTGATATGAATCACCATTAAAAAGCTTCCAAAATTGTCTCAAATCTAATATTTTGTTCATAACATGGCTTGATTCGGATTTGATCTTGTCCATGATGATAATTGAAACCTGTATCAATCAAAAAGATCCTATTTCATCAATATTTGGATTTTATTTGGATTTAAATTGATTTAAAATGAATTAATTCAATAAAAATCAAATAAAATGTAAAAATTAATGAATTGGCACAAGATTGAAGATAGGGCACGTGTGTGGTGTGACAAGATCAAATCAAGTGGAAAAAAGTGGGCCCATTTGGCAAAATTTGAAGTTTTGAGGATAGTTGACTTTTGGCAATTTTGGAAAAATGCCCAACTTCAACAATGCATAACTCTTTCAATTTTGAACTTTTGGAAGTGTTCTTAGACTTTTTAGAAACCTTGAGATGTCCTCTAACCAACCCTTTTTGTCTAATTTCATTTTGATATTCCATTATCAAGTTATAAGCTTTGGCAAAGAAAGTGTTTTTGTTGACTTTCAAAAATGACCTATAATATCCAAATTTGTAACTTTTTGTGAGTGCATTTCTTGATCTTGGGGTGTGAAGATTTATTGTAGGAAATTGCATCCTCTTCAAAATGAGCTTTGGATGGTTCATTTCTCATGAGGTATGAGAAAGTTATGCTTGGTCAAAGTTGAGTTGACTTTTCCTATAAAACCCTAATTTAGCAACTTTTGAATCTTGATGAATTTTGAGCAATCCTTGATGAATCATGATCAACCCTTGATCAAATGATGAATTATCCTTCAAAATGAGAATGTTGACAAAAATTCTTGAGGTTTGACTATTTGTAGGTCACAGTTGACTTTTGCCCTAGCACAGTCGATTTTTCGACCTCTTGAGCAATTGACTGACCAAACTTCCTTTGCAAGGCTTGAAATTTGACATGGATGACCTTGTGAACATATTAGGATATTGGGGAGAATTTGAGGTCATTTGGATGTAAGGACCTTGATGCAACACAAAACCCTAATTTGAGATTGACTGCCTTAGGAGGTGATTTGACTGTCCAACTCTTGAGCAATCTTGAACCATTTGGAGATTATTCTTGATATGTCTTGATAAATATGGGAGGGAAAATTTTGGGTTACAACAGTATCACCACGGTTGGCACCCCAACCGTTGTTATATACAAATAATTTTTAATCAAAAACTAAAAATAATATTTTAGCGCCTTAGTTTAGATATGTCACCATAGTGTAGGGAAGAACCACGGTGACCATGGTGTTGTTGTTAACGAATTTTGTAGTAGTGCGTCTTCATCTCAAAGGTAGTCTAAAGACACCTATTTATCAGGTATACTACAGTCACAACAGCCCCAACCCAAAACACATTCTTCAATCCAACACTAACCAACATGCATCTAACCATTTCTAGGATTGTTTGATTGAACCTCTCAGCCAGGCCATTTCGCTGAGAAGTGTATGCAGTAGTCACATGCCTTGCAACACTAGACATAGAACAATAATTGTATAAAGCTTCACTACATAACTCAAGACCATTGTCGATTCTCAATCTCTTGACCTTCTTGTTAGTCTGATTTTCGGCCAGAGTCTTCCAACTTTTAAAATTCTCAAAAGTTTCATCCTTAGTTTTATGAATAAATACCCATAACTTTCATGAGTAATCATCAACTATGAATAAAAAATATATTGCACCTGAATATGAAGGACACATTACAGACCCCCAAAGATTAGCATGGATAAAATCAAGGGATCCATGTGTTCTTTGTTTGCCTTTATTGAACTTTACTCTGCAAGATTTTCAAAGTACACTGGGTTCACAAAACTTTAGCTTTTCGACCTTGTCTCCACCAATCAGATTGTATTCCCTAGTTTGACAAGACCCTTTTCACTAACATGGTCCAATCTCATGTGCCACAGTTCTGTCTTCGACACATGTTTCATAGAAGCAAAATTTGTTAATCCACTTACAACATCAACCTCAAAGGTATACAAGCTTTATTTTTCATGCCTCTCAAGACTTCCTTCAACCCCTTAATGACTTTCAAGATACCTTGCTCTCCTTTGAAAACATATCCTTTCTTGTCAAATTCACCAAGAGAAATAAAATTTCTCTTCGGATCAGGTACAAATCTGACACCAGTTAATAACCTTATTGACTAATCATGGAGCTTGAATCTCACATATCTAATACCTACAATCTTGCAGGCTTTGTTGTTTCCTGGAAGCACTAATCCACCATCTTGATCACATATAATTCCTCAAATACATCTTTGTTTGGAGTCATGTGCCAAGTACATCTTGAATCCATAATCCACTCCTTACTCGAGTAGCTGATTGAAACGACAAGAACATAAGATAATTCAAAATAATCTTGCCCAATAGATGTGTTGTCATTATCCTTTACCTTCATGATTATTCAATCGTTCAGGTCACACCTTTCTTGTATGACTATCCTTCTTATAATGATAACACCTAATTGCATGAGTATCACCACCATAATATTTCTACTGACCTTTACACTTACTTTTCTCAAACCTATCATCTTTTTTCAAGAATTTCCCCTTAACGCACAAACCTTCACCAACAGACGATGACTTATACTCCTTTCGTTCGTTCAAATTCTTATAGTACAAGGCTGATTGAACTTCTTTAAAGGCCAGGGACCTCTTCCATACAAGAGAGTTTCTTTGAGATGAGCATGAGACTTAGGTAAAGAACACAACAATAACATCGCTTGATCTTCACCATCGATACTAAAATCGATATTCTCCATATCAAGAATTAACTTGTTGAACGTATCCAACTGCTTCGTCGAGACTCAATCTTCACTCATCTTGAATAAATATATAGTCTACTTCAAGTACAGACGATTTACCAGGGATTTCGCCATGTACAACATCTTGAGTTTGCTCCACATTGTTGTCTTCTGCTTCGAGACTTATTGAAGAACCTTATCACCAAGCCTCAAGTTGATGGCACTGTGAGTTTCTCGACCATCGTCGTCTTCTCCTTCTTCGTTAACGTAACATCCATCCTCTCTGATCCTTTCAACGCTTCTAACAAATCTAGTTGAATAAGAAAGACTTGCATCTTCAAGCGCCACAAACCAAATCCACTCACACTAGTGAACTTCTCAATCTCATCCTTTGTTGACGACATCTTTTTCCCCACGCCCACCACACCAGTTTGTTGTAACGGAGTATCGTCAAGAACACATCAAAACTATGAGGAATATTGAGTTTCTTGAACAAACACAAGAAACCTTATTAGATTTTACGAAAGAGAGAAGATGGAAGAAGAAGAAGAAAATCAGGATTTGTTATATCTGTTTTACTATTTACTTTCTCAATTAGGGTTCAAAAATTACAAGTGAATAACAACAACCAATACTCTCTCAACAACTTTTATTTATAGACTATTAAGCTAAGTTAAGTAACAAGTTAACTTAAACAATTGAGCTAACAAACTCCATACTAATAACATAACATATTTTCGAAAACATGTGAACAGACTTCCCGAACTATAGAAACTACTAAAATAAAGTTAGATCAAATATACCACAATTTGGACATAAAATTTAAGAGAGATAATTTTTTTCTTCAAAAGTTTGATATTACATTATTATATATTTGTATATTCTATGGCATGAACCGCATTGATCAGTGTCCCCTTATGCACGGATACAATGATGTCGAATATATTCTTTGCAGTCAAGGAACCGTAGACGAGCATTTAAGATTTCATTTCAATTTCACACTCCTTTTAATGTTTGCTTTCATACCCAAGTTTAATTTAACATACGTACATTTAAATTCCTCTTCACATAACTGCAGAATCTGATCTAGAATGCGGTACCACTTCTGTATAGTACACTCCTCTCATATATGTATATAAAATACTTGATTTTCTTTTAAAACATTTTACTAGTTATTATTAGATAGCAAAGAATAATATGTTATTTTTCAATTTCTTAGGTGAAAAAAGAATGAGTAATTAGTCAAAACACTTGATGAGCAAGAATAGTATGAAGAAAAAGGCATTTCTCCTTCTCTGATCTCTTAACCGACTAAAATTCCACACTGTACAAGCTTCTACAAAAAGACACCAAAGAAGAATATTATTGACTTATGTAAAATACTTTATTTATCACACAAGTAGGCTTCATGTCATGTACACATTTTTCAAGTACGTGTCATCACATCATATAGTATAATTAGAATATTTTCAAAATGACCATCTTACCCCTTCATGGAAATGGAACCACTACCATTACCATTACCATTACCACTACTACTACTATATTCCAATTCCATCTTTCAAAAGCTTTATGCACTTGCTTTTCACTCTCCTCTAGAAACTAGAAAAAAAGTGGTGTTTTTCTTTCTCTGAACAACACTCATATAACTTTTCCTTTTTTCCATTTTTTCATCTTAAATCAATGGACACAACTCAGTGGGCACAGGTAAACATAATACCTTTTTCTCTTTTATTTTTCCTTGTTCTAATCATGAAAAATTATGTTGATTATTTTGATCTTGAATTTGTAATTAATTATCAACCATAATAAAGCTTTTTCTTTCATAAATTATCTTGATTATTGATAGTTCTAAGGAAAGTTTCACTTTATGTATATCTCCTTTATAACTTTTTCCCTGATGCTCAACCAAAATTTTCATTGTTTGTTCTTGTCTTTTTTTTAGATCCTTTTCCTTCATTTAATTAATTAACTGTACTTGACCTTTCTATTTCCAATTTTTTCAGATAAATTTGTTTGTATTATTGCTATACACCAGTTTCTTCTCTTGTTTGTTACCTTTCTATCTTATTATGAACTTTTTCATTTTCATCTCCTTTTTTGAAATTTGGATATATTTTTAGGGGAATATTGGGCTGGTTAAACAAATGGAAGGCTCAAAAGCTCCTATGATAGAGAGAAGAGCTAGGCCACAAAAAGATCAAGCTTTGAACTGTCCAAGGTGCAATTCAACCAACACAAAATTCTGTTACTATAACAACTATAGTCTCTCTCAACCAAGGTACTTTTGCAAAACCTGTAGAAGGTATTGGACTGAAGGTGGTTCTTTGAGAAATGTGCCTGTAGGTGGTGGTTCAAGGAAAAACAAAAGATCATCACCATCACCTTCAATCTCACAACAACCTCCAACAAAAAATATTATTATTCCTGATCTTTCCACTCAATCCGCTTCACAAAACCCTAAGATCCATCAAGGACAAGATCTTAACCTAGCTTATCCACCACCGAATACTGAAGATAACTATAACACCATATCTAAATTCATTGAACTTCCTTACACAACTGATCAAGAAAAAACTCGTAATTCATCGTCATCGCCGCTTTCTGCTATGGAGCTACTCAAAACTGGGATTGCTGCTGCTTCTTCTTCTTCAAGGGGTTTGAATTCTTTTATGCCTATCTCATTATCTGACTCTAGTGCAATGTATAATTCAACTGGTTTTTCTTTGCAAGATTTTAAGCCTGGTCTTAATTTTAGTTTAGAAGGATTTGATAATGGTAATTATGGTGCTTTACAAGGGATGAATCAAGAGAATCCTGGTGGTGGTGGTGGTGGTGCAAGGATGTTGTTTCCTGTTGTGGATGAGTTGAATAATAATAATAATAATAATATTAATAATAATAATAATAATAAGCAGCAACAAGTTCCAAATAGTGGTGAGTTTGAACAACATCAGCAGAATAATAGAAGCCATGGTGATTCAACTGGTTATTGGAATGGTATGTTAGGTGGTGGATCATGGTAAAGGGTTGTGGTGTTGTTAATTTAGTTTAGTTTCTTTAATGTTTTTTTTTCTTTTCATCTTTATCTTTTGGGTGTTTGAACTTTGGAGTGATGATCAGAAGCACTAACAAAATTAGAGTACATAGGTTTATTAGTATTATTTATGGTTGTTGTTATGTTTTTTATAATGCATTTCAATTTTCAAGTTTTTTTTTCTTCTTTTATGGCTTCTTTTTTTGGTCTTGTGTTGGGACAAGAAAGTGAAGATGGAATGATGGGTGTCAAATCGTTTACAGCGAAAGTGGTCTCCTTTCTTTTTGCTTTGCTTGCAAAGTGATCAGAAGTGTCAGATGCTATAACAGTGCCGCCATGGTCCTTTTTTTTCTTCTCTGTAATGGGATCTGTTAAAGTGACAGAAATTTACATAGTTTTGTTTAGTGTACGATGCACGAGGTTTTCATTAGTTAATGCTCAACTTAACTTAATTGGGTTCATTGGAACAGTAATACAAGTTAATAACAGTTGGTCACAGTAGTAGTATGATAGTATATAATAATGCTATCTCAATTTCTTTTAGTAATCACTTTTGTTAGTGGAAATCTCTACTAATATTATTTATATCTATGTATACTTACCTAGAACGACTTGTGAGTGAGAACACAATTTTTAGTTATCTTTCATGAGAGTTGTGTCTGTGTACAAAGAAGAGATAAATGGCAAAAGAAATATATTTAATGACGGCTATAAAAATAAGAAATAATGATTTATTGATCTATCTCATTAAGTTATTTATACACAAAATTAGGGTATAATAAAATCTTAAATATCTTCTAACAAAGATATAAAAAAATCTAAAAAGATATTTCTAAAATATAAATTAAAATCTAAAAAGATATTCCTAAATTAATTTTAAAATATAAATTAATTTTAACATCATCTTTTAATTTATATTTACATAAAACTGACAACACCATTTTCATCCCTCAAACAGAGAAATTGATCAGTCTTGATAGCCTTTGTTAGAACATCTGTCAGCTGTTTCTGGGTGCTACATTGCACAACTTCTAAAATTCTATTATGAATCTGATTCCTCAGAAAGTGATACTTGGTCTCAATATGCTTGCTTCTCCCATATAGTATTGGATTCTTGGCAAGATTGATTGCAGACCTTGTTATCTATCATCAGCTTCAGAGATTTATTTACCCCAATCTTCAAATTTTTCAGCAAGTTTAGAATCCACACAGCTTGGCATGCAGTCAGAGTGTCTGTAATATATTCAGCTTCAAAGGTTGACAGCACAAAAACAGGTTACTTCTTGGAACACCAAGAAATAGGACCTCCTAGAAATTTGAATAAGTATCCAGAATTACTTCTTCTGTCAAGTCTATCTCCACACCAATCAGAGTCTGAATAATTCAGAAGTTCTGATTCGATTTTTCTTTCAGACGGAAACAATACTCCGTACTTCAGAGTTTCCTTCACATACCTCAGAATTCTGACAGCAGCTTGGTAATGAGACCACTTTGGTTTACTCATAAATCTGCTAACCATTCCAACTGCATAACAAATATAAGGGCTGATATTACACAAATACCTTAGAGAATCAACCATCTGTTTGAAGGTTGTAGCATCCACATCCTCTCCATCAGAATCAAAGTCCAACTTCTGATTCATATCAGCGGGTGTGATAACAACTTTGGAGTTTTCTAGCTTAAATCTCTTCAGAAGCTCAAGTTCATACTTCATCGGATGCAAAATAATTCCTTTCTCAGAATATATAAACTCAATCCCTATAAAGAAACTCATATTCCCAAGACCTGTCATCTCAAACGCATTCATCAGAATTTTCTTGAACTCAATTATCTCTTGTTCAGAACTTCCTGTTAGCAATATATCATCAACATACAAACATACCAGAATCATATTACCTTCTAAAGCGTGTTGAACATAAACACCATACTCTATCTTACACTTCTGAAACCCTTGTTCCTTGAAAAAAGAATCAATCTTCAAATTCCAAACTCTGGACGTTTGCTTCAATCCATACAAGGCTTTGTGTAATTTGAACACCATCCCTTCCTGATTCTTTTTCTCAAATTTAGGAGGTTGTGATACGTATACCTCTTATTGTAATGGACCGTTCAGAAATGTAGATTTTACATCTAAATGCACCAGAGGCCAATTCCTGTTAGCAGGTATTGTAATCACTAGTTTGATTGTTTCATGTCTCGCTATAGATGCAAACACTTCAAAGTAATCCAGCCCAGGCTTCTATAGAAAGCCTCTTACTACTAATCTTGCTTTGTGTTTTCCAATTAATCCATTTGGCTTTAGCTTCTGCTTGAAAACCCATCTGACGCTGATGGCTTTCTTGCCTTTTGAATGTTTTGTCAGCTTCCAAGTCTTATTTCTCTCTATAACATCATGTTCTTCTTTCACGGTCTGTAACCAAACTTGCTGATTAAGAGCTTCTTTCGTACTCACGGGTTTAGAGTCTACTAACATTGCACACCGAATAACTTCTCCTTCAGAGTTTACTTCAGTGTCTTGCAACATGGCAAACTCTGCAAATCTTCTTGGGATGCTTCTGACTCTTTGTTGCCTCTGAACTAGACCTTCAGAACTTTGGACACTAGAACTTTCCCCTTCATAAGCACTTGCTTCTCCAGAGCCTTGATTGTCTTTGGAGTCTGGATCACCATCGGAGTAAGAGTCAGAATCATCTTCTCCTTCTGTATCTTCTTCATAGTCAGAGTCTTTACCAACTTCAGAAACATGTGTTTCTGACTTTTCTTCAGGAGTTCTCTCATCAGAGTCAGGAAGAGACCTCTCCCAATTCTAGATTTCATATTCTTTTACAATGACGTCTCTGCTAAACTCAACTTTGTTAGTTTCTGGACAATAAAGTTTGTACGAACCTGTACTGTGGTATCCCACCAGTAACATTACTTTACTTTTATCATCCAGCTTTTGTCTTATGGGACATGATTGTAACATACAGAATCAAACACCTTCGGATGACTAACACTTTGCTTATCTCCGGTCCACTTATGAATAAGAATTATTTCGTTCAATTTATTTGTTGGACATTTGTTGAGCACATAACATGCAGTGGCAACAACTTGTCCCCCACAGAGTATGAGGGAGCTTCTTCTCTTTCAGCATGCTTCTCACCATATCAAGCAAAGTACATTTTCTTCTTTCAGCAAGACCATTGTGTTGAGGAGTATAGAGAGCAGTAACCTCATGCTCAATTCCATTCTCCTCACAAAACTTTATGAATTTCGTGGAGTTATACTCACCACCACCATCAGTTCTAAGAATCTTCAGAATCTGGCCACTCTGATTCTCAACCTTCAGTCTGAACTTCTTGAATTCAGCAAACACCTCGTGTTTGAACTTTATGAGAGATACCCATATCATTCTGGTGAACTCATCAACAAATAACATAAAATATTTATTCCCTCCAATCAATGCTACTGGAAATAGACCGCACACATCAGAATGCACTACTTTCAAGGCATGCTTTGCTCTTGGAGCTACTTCTGATGCAAATGATAATCTTGGTTGCTTCCCTTCCATGCACACCTTGCATGACTTTTCAGGCTTTTTGATTGTAGGAATTCCATGTACCAGCTTCTTGGGTTTCAGATGCCCTAAGCTTCTGAAATTCAGATGACCAAATCTTATGTGCCATAACTCACTCTCCTTGACAATACTTGTTGCACTAAGGCATTCAGAGTCTACAGTTCTAACATTCACCTTGAATTTTCTATTCTATCCCCGTTCTGACTCAATAATCAGTTTCTGATTGCAGTCATACAACTTCAGAAGATTGTCCTTCATGGTAACCGAAAAACCTTTCTCAATCAGTTGTCCCACACTCATCAGATTGCTTTTCATTCCAGGTACATACCATACATTCTGGATAACTTTCGCTTTCCCATTGTTTAGAATGATTCTGACATTTCCCATACCTTCTGCATTGAGGTATTTATCATCAACACATATGATCTTTATACTCTTCTCAGAGTCAAAATCAACCAACCATTTCTTGTTTCCGTAAGATGTTTTGAACACCCTGTGTCCATATACCACCATTCTGATGAATTCAGATTATCAGATTCAGAAGCCAACAATAGCAGAGGTTCATCATCAGGCTCTCCTCTAGCTGTATTTGTTTCTTCTGACCTCCTTTCTTTGTTTGACCAGCAATCTTTGGCATAGTGACCAAAGTTCTTGCAACAGTAATACTGAACATTCTTCTTATCAGACTTTTTCTTTCCTTTCTAGACATTTTTCTGCCTATTAAAGTTTGAAGCTTATGACGTTTGACCACCATTAGTTTTCTTCCTAGCTTCTGATCAAGTCTACTTTTGATATTTCTTACCAGAAGTTACTTTTAGAGTTTGCTGCTCTACTTCCCTCTCAGAAGTTCTCGCAGTCATACGCAGCTCGTGCGCCTCTAGACTACTTTGCAGCTCTTCAACTTTCATGGTGCTCAGATATTTGGAATTCAATTGCTACCACAATGTAATCAAACTGGTAAGTTAAATATCTCAAGATCTTCTCAATGATTACTTGTTCAGAAAGAGTTTCTCCATAAGATTTCATCTCATTAGTGATCAGAATCACCCTAGAGATGTACTCAGAAACCTTCTCGTTGTCCTTCATGTATAGATTCTCATATTGTTTTCTGAGAGACTGAAGCTTCACTTTCTTCACTGATGCGTCACCACCGTAACATCTGACCAGTGTGTCCCACGCAGCCTTTGTTGTTTCAGAATCAACAATCTTCTCAAACATGTTCGCATCCACACATTGATGGATGTAGAACAACGCCTTCTGATCTTTCTTCCTTGGCGTCCTATGTGTTACTTATGTGCCTCTGTTGCGTCTGTTTCTAACAGATCATAGCCATCAGTGACAAGATCTAACACATCTTGAGAACCAAACAACACACACATCTGGATCTTCCAACGATTCTAGTTTTTGTCATCAAATACTAGAAGTTTGGAATG